AGCTGGCACAGGATTTGGAAAGTATGGCACACAAGGCCTACCCAACTGCACCACCCGATGTCCTCAAGTTGTTACTGAGGGATCAGTTTGTAGATGCCTTGGACAGTCTACAACTAAAGGTACAAGTGAAGCAAGCACACCCCTCTACTATGCAGGATGCAATGGCCAGAGCTCTAGAATTCGAATCCTATGTTAAGTCCAGCACAGAGGTACCAAGGTTGGTACAGTCTTCAGGAGTCAAGCCCAGAAAAGGGCAGCTCTCAGAGAAGTGGGGAAGGAGAATGTTTGGTATTGTGGTTGTGTAGCCAGACTCTTCAACACTCCACTAAATGGCCCAAATAATTGATTACATAGAAATAGCATTTTCTACATGACGATGGTTATATAAACTGGAGAAAGCTGAGTCAAGAGCCAAAGCAACGTGGCCTGCAAATAGAGTGGCTAGGTCCAGTTAAAGTATTCTGCCAATAAAGTGAAGATCCTAAATGGCCATCATGTTGCTACCATGAGCCAAGGATGGAGAATGAGAATCATCTGGAGCAGCCAGAAGAACTCATAAAGTTCTCCCCTATGGTTGAGACTCTGTATGTGTGGTGCTCAGATGACTGAGGATTGACAGGGTGACACACAGCCAAGGTTGTCTGAGATCAAGTGGGATCCATTTCTGTAAAATCACGAGGTATACAATGAACTGAGACACAGAGCCCTGTCTTTGGTCGAGAACACCCTTGGTTGAAAGGAGTCAGACGAGGAGTGAAGTGTCATCAGTGGCTGAACTCCACCAACACAAGCTGTTATGCCAGAAGACAAGACAGTGGACACTCACAGGTGATAAGAATGATTGGGAGCAAGATAGGAAGCTCCTCTGTGAAGATAGGTGAGCCAAGAATCAGGAGTGGGGTGCCATTAGTGGATGATATGCAACAAAAGGAACTGTATCATTGGCAGATGAGACTGCAAACTGAAGTATTTGTGGAATACAAGTACTAAGTATATCCATATTTAAAGGTTTTCAAGAAGTTCATTTTATTTTTATTGTATATAACGTATAGTATGGAGAAAACAGCAGATCGAAAATGTTATACAAATGTGGACACTTATGAACCACAATACCAAATAAGGAAGATACAGGCTTGAAGCCCATCACAGAAGTCAGCCCAGGATACATTCTATGTTTTAGCATTAGAAGCAAGAAAATTCACAGCTACGAACTCTAATGCCGGACAGATGTGGTATATTGAGACAAAACCCCAATTGTTTAGGTAAAGTTCCTAACAAAATGAATCAATGTCACCAAAAAACAGCTAACAGGACAGTGAGGAAAATCACTGAGCGAATTAATATTAGTGAAGAGACATGAATTACACGGTTTGTTATTATACACCCTAAGTTAATTTTCTTGGATGGTTTCGCTAAAGATATTAGATAAGGGACAGAAATAAGTTCTATAAGGACCAATAACAATAACTTTGGTTACAGTCTGATGGAATAATCCACTTGTACCAATCATGTTAAAAAACTACTTTTAAATGTAGAGCTGCTAAACTTGAATATAATTGTGCTTATGATTATGTGTTTTCGACTCTAAACGTCACTTCTCTACACTTATCAAGATGCTTCAGAAAATTGTTCTGACTCCAGAAGACGGAAGATGGCAGTAATCCAGAATCTACAAGGGGTTCGCCACACAAAGCCTTTGTAAGTATTTGCTATTTCTGATCTAGTCTAACAGTGTTTCACTTAGGGTTCAATAATGTATAAACAGAGAAAAATGAAGAACATTAACTGTACTAAAGAAATAGTAGACTTGAAAATGCTTACAGTGGAATTACTTAAAGATATCTTACAAGAATTGTTAATATAGTGATACAGAATATGACCGAGAGGATTTCTCGTGTTAGTTTGGTTAATAAGTTAACTAGCGTTGTGTCTATATCACAGTATATATAGAAGGCCTTATTAATGAACACCTAAATCTTCAAAACAAAGAACTCAATGATTAGTGTTAGTGTTGTTTCAAGGTAACCTTGAGAGTTTCAGTATAGATGAAATTCTCAACAGTGTATAAATAAAGATGTTATTTGATTTGAATTTCGTTTTTCTCTGTGTGAGCCCTTTATTCCACACACATAAACTTTCTCAAGTTGGTGGCTTGTGTGCTCGTCTCGAGAAAGCATGACCCGAAATCCAAATAAATTTCTTTGTAATGACTGTAAATTCAAACCTAATGACTAAGACCAAGGGCTGCCCATACACCCTTACAGGTGGTGCAGTTAACAGGATATATTTGGGGCACACTAACAACAGTTTGTGAGAATAAATAAGAGAAAATAAGTAGACATAAGTAGTATAAGTAGACTTACGAGATAGTAATAAGTAAGTATAGATATGGCTACTCCTAGTTTAGGAGAAGCCACGTGACCAAGTGCTGGCACAGACTTAGAAGCTATGGCAGATAAACCTGCAGGGCCATGTGGTGCTACACACTTAACGAGTGCTATACTGCTTTTCCAAGGTCGAATCGCTGAATATGTAGAAAGTTTTATAGATACTATAAGCGAAGCTGTTAGAATATCGGGGTGGACTGACACTCAAAAAGCAAATATACTCAGACTTAGAATGGCAGGATAAGCAAAACACTATATTAGGGCTTATGCTGACCTCAGAGAAGCTGCTGATTTTCATTACTTATCTCGTAGGATAGTACAGGAATATAGTAAGGAAGAGACACACAACATGATACTAACACAAATTCACCATTTATCACAGCATAAAGGTGAGTCAGTTAGAGGATTCAGGCACAAATTACAGGAATTAGGAAACAGACTCCGCAGAGCTTATATACATCCAAATAAATTAATGATACTCTGAAGTCTGACTATGAGTGAGGTTTAATTAGAAACATAACTAAATGCAATGTAAATGAAGCGAACATGTCAAACACAACTTTGTTTAGATTTAATCGAAGTGGCTACTACAGAAGAACTACGAGAAAAACAAATTACCGACCTCAGTATTCTGCTATAAGTAATAGCAGGAATGATAAAACAAGCTATTGGAACCAAAACCAGAATAAGCCCGAAGGTTTAAAATGTTTTAATTGTAGTAAGGTAGGACCTATAGCAAAGAACTGTTATCAGAAAAATAACGAGCAGATAACTTGCTTTAATTATGGATTGAAAGATCACATGGCCAGAAATTTCAGACACCTGCCAAAAACAGAGAACACAAAAGTTCCAAAGATTGGAACTTTCAGAGGAAGGTTCGCAAGAAATAACAATAGAAGCTGAGCGATTGCTCAAAAACATAATTCCAGCCAGAATTATGGAACGAAATTGGAAGTGGTTCCAGTAGTTTGTAATATGAGATTGAATATAAAAAGTGTTTGCATTTTTTAATGCTATATACACCTTAAGTCTGCTGTAAATGTAAGAAACTCTCCACG